TATTGATACTGCCCGAAACACAGTCCCGCAGGTCTCTGCTTCCTTGCTGGCAGGGGTCAAGGGGGTGGGGGGAGTGGTGCAGCCTCAGATCCTCCAGGGTGTAGTGGTGATACAACCTGGGATCTGTCCCCTCAGCGCTGCTGGCGGTCAAGCCCAGGGAACTCAGCCTCCGCCTGCAGCCTCCGCGTTGTCTGGGGTCACACCCAGGGAATGCAGCCTCAGGCCCGCAGCTTTGGGGATGGTGCTGGGAGCGCAGCAGAGCAGTTTTTCCTAGCACCCTCTGGGACCGGGGGCACTTAGTTCAAATTCAGCACCCCAGCTAGAACTAAACACACTCTTTTTTCAAGCCGAGGTTTTTTTTTTTCCTCTTCTCAAGGGACAGTTCTATGAGCAGTTTCAGCTTCTCTTTCTTTTCCCTTCAACTAACCGCGGCTGCAAGCCAGACTCCTTCTCCTCCTTCCGTGTCTTCAGTCGGCCCGCTTTTATCTTCCGCAGTTCGCACTCACGCACTTATGAGGTTGCCTTCCCAGTGTACTGTCTCTTTCTCTTCTCAAATTCCTGTGGCTCAGTGTCCTATGACTTCAGGCCTTCTCTGTTTGAGAGATGGGTGCAAGCTAAATGCATAGAGCTCCCTACTTCTCCACCATCTTGCCTCCCCCTCAAGCATCCCTTATTAATAAAGGCCTTCGAGAAAGTCAGGATAGAAGGAATTTACTTAAACATCATAAAAGCCATCTATGGGAAGCCCTCAGCTAACATCATCATCAATGGGGAAAAACTCAGAGCTTACCCCCTGAAAACAGGAACATGACAGGGATGTCCACTCTCACCACTGTTGTTTAACATAGTGCTGGAAGTCCTAACATATCAGCAATCAGACCACAAGGGAAAGAAAAGGCATCAGAATTGCCAAAGAAGAAGTCAAACTTCCATTTTCGCAGATGACATGATACTCTACATAGAACATCCGACAGACTCCACCAGAAGTCTACTAGAACTGATCCATAATTCAGCAAAGTTGCAGGAAAGAGAATCAACGTACAGAAATTGGTTGCATTTTTATACACCAATAATGAAGCAACAGAAAGAGAATCAAGAAACTGATCCCATTCACAACTGCACAAAAAACCATAAAATACCTAGGAATAAACCTAACCAAAGATATAGGAGATCTATATGAAAACTATAGAAAACTTATGGAGGAAATTAAAGAAGACACAAAGAAATGGAAAAACATTCCATGCTCATGGGTCGGAAGAATAAATATGGTTAAAATGTCATGACTACCCAAAGCAATCTACACATTTAATACAATCCCAATCAACATTGCACCAGCATTCTTCTCAAAACTAGAACAAACTATCCTAAAATTTGTATGGAACCACAAAAGACCCCGAATAACCAAAGTGATACTGAAGAAGAAATCAAAATGGGAGGCATCACCATCCCAGACTTTAGCCTTTACTACAAAGCTGTCATCATCAAGATAGTATGGTATAGGCCCCAAAACAGACACATAGACCAATGGAATAGAATACAGAACCCAGAATTGGACTCACAAATGTATGGCCAACTAATCTTTGCGAAAGCAGGAAAGGGTATCCAATGGGAAAAAAAAAGACAGCCTCTTTTACAGATAGTGCTGGGAGAACTGGACAGCAACATGCGGAAGAGTGAACCAAGATCATTTTGTCACACCATACACATAAAAAACTCAAAATGGATAAAGGACCCGAATGTGAGACAGGAAACCATCAAAACCCTAGAAGAGAAAGCAGCAATTTCTTACTTGACACATCCCCAAAAGTAAAGGAATCAAGAGGAAAAATGAACTATTGGGACCTCATCAAGATTAAAAGTTTTGCATGGCAAGGGAAACAATCCATAAAACTAATAGGCAACTGACGGAATGGGAAAAGATAGTTGCAAATGACATATCAGATAAAGGGCTAGTATCCAAAATCTATAAGGAACTCACCAAACTCCACACCCGAAAAACAAATAATCCAGTGAAGAAATGGGCAGAAGGCATGAACAGACACTTCCCCAAAGGGGACATCCAGATGTGCAACAGACACATAAGTGATGCTCAGCGTCCCTCATCATCAGGGCAATACAAATCAAAACCACACTGAGATATCACCTCATGCTGGTCAGAGTGGCTAAAATGAGCAAATCAGGAGACTCTAGTTGCTGGCGAGGATGTGGAGAAATGGGCACCCTCCTACACTCTTGGTGGCAATGTAAACTGGTGCAACCCCTCTGGAAAACAGTATGAAGGTTCCTCAAAAAATTAACAATAGAACTCCCCTATGGCCCAGCAATAGCACTGCTAGGAATTTACCCAAGGGATACAGGAGTGCTGATGCATAGGGGCACATGTACCCCAATGTTCATAGCAGCACTCTCAACAATAGCCAAAACATGGAAAGAGCCTAAGTGTCCATCAATGGACGAATGGATCAAGAAGATGTAGTTTATCTATACAATGGAATACTCCATAGCAATTTTGAGAAAAAATGAAATCTGGCCATGTGTAGCAACATGGATGGATCTTGCGGGTGTTATGCTCAGGGAAATAAGTTAGTCAGAGAAGGACAGGTACCATATGTTTGCACATATAGGAGGATTAAGAGGAACTTAACGGCGGACCATGGAGGAAAAGAAGCGGAAAAATCATTGGGGAGATGGAGAGAGGCAAACCATGAGAGACTCTTGAATGCTGAGAACAAACTGAGGACCGATAGGTGTGGAGGGGACTTGTGGGGATGAGCACTGGGTGTTATATGGAAACCAACTTGACAATAAACAATTTGTAGAAAGAAAGAAAGAAAGAAAGAAAGAACGAAAGAAAGAAAGAACGAAAGAAACCAACTTGACAATAAGCTAGTTAAAAATACATACATACATACATACATACATACATACATACATACATAAGAAGACACAAAAGAGACATCCTTATTTTGTTTAATCTTAGGGGAAATTGTCCTATCTATATCTGTTAAGTGTGATGTTAACTATGAGTTTTTCATAGGTGCTCTTTGTCAGGTTGAGGATATTCCTTTTCTATTTCTAGTTTGTTGTAGAGTGTTTTTATTGCTACGTGGTATTGTATTTTTGTCAAAATATTTTTCTGCATGTATTGAGATGACCGTGTAGCTTTAAAAAATGTTTTGTGGGGCACCTACGTGGCTCAGTCAGTTAAGTGTCTGATTGTGGCTCAGGTCATGATCTTACAGTTGGGAAGTTTGAGCCCGGCATCGGGCTCTGTACAGACAGCTCAGAGCCTGGAGCCTGCTTTAGATTCTTTGTCTCCTTCTTTCTCTGTCCCTCCCCTGTTTGTGCGCTTTCTCTCTCTCTCTCTGTCTCTCAAAGTGAATAAACATTAACAAATTTTAACGTTTTGTTGTTATACTGTATTATATAACCTTGCATAACCTCTTGATTGTGGTGTATCCTTCTTTTGGTACGTTGCTGGGTTCAGTTTGCTAGTATTTCGGTGAGGATTTGTGCATCCATGTCATATGCTGGTTTGTAGTTTTCTTGCTTTGTGATATCTTTCTCTGGTTTTAGTGTCAGGGTAATATTGGCCTCATAGAATGAGTTTGGAAGTGTTTCTACCTCTTCTGTGTTTTGGAAGAATTTGTGCAAAGTTGGTGTTGATTCTACTTTAGATATTTGCAAGAACTCACCTGAGAAACCACCTGGAGCTGAGATTCTTTTTTGTGGGTAGTTTCTTCACTACTAGCTCAATCTTTTTATTTGTCTTTCAGATTGCCTATTTTTTATGTCACTCTAGTTTGTGTTTTCTAGGAATTTTTTCATTTCATCAAAGTCATCTATTTTATTGGCATACAATTGTTCATGGTATTCCTTTATAGTCCTTTTTATTTTTGTAATTTCTGCAGTAATCTCCCCTCTCATTTATGATGATAGTCATTTGAATCTTCTCTCCTTTTTGTGTGGCCTGTCTAGCTAAATGTCTTTGAAAGAATGGGCTTTGGTTTCATTGATTTTTTTTTTATTCTCAATTTCATAAGTTTCTGCTCTTGTCTCTATGAGGTGCATTCTTCTACTGCTTTGGGTTTAGTTTGCTCTTGTTTTGGGGGCATGTTTATGTTAGAAAGCTGGATCACTGATTTGAGATCTTCGTTCTTTTTTAATTTTTATTTATTTTTTAAATAGTTTATTGTCAAGTTGATTTCTTTTTTTTTTTTTGTTTTTGTTTTTGTTTTTTTTTTTTACAAATAGTTTATTGTCAAATTAGTTTCTACATAACACTCAGTGCTCATCCCCAAAGTGCCCTCCTTCATGTCCATCACCCCTTTTCCCCTCTCTCCCACCTCCATCAGCCTTAAGTTTGTTCTCAGCATTCAAGAGTCTCTCATGGTTTTTTGTTTTTTGTTTTTTTATCTTCCTGATCACTGCTATTACTACATCACATGAGTTTTGGTATGTCATGTCTTTATTTTTGTAATATCCAAGTAATTCGTTACTGCCCATTTGATTTCTTCTTTGACCCACTGGCTATATAGTAGTGTAATGTTTAAGTTCCACACTTCTGTGGGTTTACCAATGTGATTTACATTCTAATTTTCTAATTTTATACCATCATGGTTGAAGGGCACACTACGTATTATTTGCAACATGACAATACTTGCTTAAACAGTATGATTAATTAAAGTAGCATATTATAGTTTGGTTTATCCAAAGACACTCCAGTCCAAAAATAAAAATCTAACAGATCCAAGAATGTCATCCTGTTCCTCTAGTTACCCAAAGATGTGGAAGGGGACGCTGATCTCACTGCTGTAGTAGTGGCTTCTATGTGTGACTTACCCTGGCTCACCCATTGACTTGAGGTCATAGAGGGAATGACTTCTGTATTCAATGACCTCTGGAGTCTTTTACTTATCTGATTGGAAGAACAAATTATCATTGTTCCAGGTAAAATTTTGCATTTTAACTGCGTTTTCCATTGCTCTTTTTCCTTACAGTACTCTTCCCATTCCTTACCCCAGTTTTTGAAATATTAAATATCTGGCTGTTTCCAAAAAGGGTTACTGATTTTTTTACAGAATCTGTAAAAAGGATGAAGGAAAGTCGCCTCAAAGATAAACAAAAGGTAAATCCAGTGGTGGTTACATGTGGATGTTCACTTTTGGTCTTTTATTGAGTTGTGTACATCTCACGTGTGTACCTCTATGTATCTTTTTATGGTAGGTAGAGAACTGTAGGGTTTAGAGCAGGAGAGTTCTAACATTTTAGAGAGAATGAAAAAAGTGGAGGTTAAGGAAGGAGATAAGAAAATGAATCGGAGAAAGAATGTTTAAAATTTAATAATAAACATGGCAACTAGTATATCACTGTAAAAAATTTGGTGAGAGAGATACTACCACTTCCCTTCAACAGTTTGTCAAAGGGAAAAATTACTGTGTAAAATCATTTTCCTGGTAGTACAATTTCCCAAATCTTATACTGGCAAAGAATCCCTTCAATGTCAAGCCTCTTGTTTTATACATTCTCCAGTGACGGATACCATCAGCCACCTACCTGGTGGAGTATAGTCTATGTTAAACTTGAGCTTGCCATTGTCTGGAGTGGGCAGGTCCTCTCTGGGCACTGAAGCTATAAGCAGGCTAAGCCAGCTCTGCCTTCATGAGGCCTGCTCACACAAGGATGTGTGTACAATAGAAAGACAGGGCTGGGTATCCCAGAATGTCACTGAAGATTGTGTAGAGTTTTGGGAGGGTGGGGCATTGGAAGATGCTGACAGAGTAGCTCCCCATGGACTCTGCAAATGTCAGGGGATTGATCTATGTGGCCACTCATTAAAATTAAGGCTAGGTTAAAGAGGACTGGCATCAGAGATTTTCTCTTGGGCAAGTAGGAATGACAGGAGAGGGAGCAGACAACTCTTTGCCCAGGAATCTGTGTTCAAAATCCAGAGAAGCTGAAGATCAGAGGGAGCAAGAACCAAGAAGCAGTGGGACACGATGGCCGCATTCCTGTCAGGGAAACATCCTACTCTCCTGGATTTGTAACTGAAAGTTTTTTGGTTTTGTTTTTTTTCTTGAGAGAGAAAGTGCAAGTGGGGAAGGGGTGACAGGAAAGGAAGAGAGTAGGCTCCACACTCTTGGTGGGGGAGCCCGAGGACCCTAAGATTATGACCTGAGTGAAATCAAGAGTCAGACCTTTAACTGACTGAGCCACCCAGGTAGCTCAATGTTTTTGTTCACTGATGACTCAGACAACATAGGTCAGGCTTCTGGAAGTAAAGAGGCCATATAATCAGGAAAGAAGTTAAATGCTGCACCCTGGATTTATTTCTGACTTCCCAAGTAACATTTTGTCATTGAACTTCTCTTTCTGCTTCCAGCACCGAGTGGATTTGCTTCAGCTGATGATTAACTCCCAGAATTCCAAAGAAATGGACACCCATAATGGTAAGCAAGGAGAGCTTCAGAGGGCCAGTGGTGGGCGGCTCAGAGGCAGGGGTGATTCTGAGATGTTTAGGAAGGCTTTTTAACAGATTGAATTCCTGCAAATCAGATAATGACATATTCAGATACAAATGGTAGCAGAAGAACTTTCCAGAAGTATGCACCACAATTTTGTTCAAAGCTTAAAAGGTAACCATAGACAAGAAAGTGAGTTCTCTGCTTCCAATGTCAATCCTCTATCTTAATCAAGACCCACTAGATTTGAACCTCAACCTGGAAATTCACAACTAGGCTTTATCACATCAGGGGACACATAGCCTCAGTGTTGGTGACCTTAACTTGGAACACTTGGTTAAGGTTGTGTTCAACCTTAAGCTTAATGTACTGTAAAATTTTATTTTTATTTTTGTAATTAATAAGTAGCTTGTTCAGGATGTCATTATGACTGTGTAAATACTGTGACTCTCTTCAAATTTCCCATACTACTTTTTTTTTTTTTTTTTTTTTTAAGGTGGTAGAGATTTATTCCCATGCCTTTTTCTAAGGGTTTTTTAGTTTTAGGTGTTTTTGTTTTTGTTTTTGTTTTTGTTTTTTTACAAGTAGTTTATTGTCAAATTTGTTTCCACATAACACCCAGTGCTCATCCCCATAAGTGCCCTCCTCCATGCCCATCCCTCCTCCCCCTCACATCCATCAGTCCTCAGTTTTTGTCAGCATTCAAGAGTCTCTCATNCCTCAGTTTTTGTCAGCATTCAAGAGTCTCTCATGGTTTGCCTCTCTCCCTTTCCCCCACCATTTCCCCCCTTCTTCTCCCCCTTGTTCCTCAGTAAACCATGGAATACTACATGGCAATGAGAAACAACGAAATCTGGCCATGTGTAGCAACATGGATGGACCTTGAGGGTCCATCCCATCAGATTTGTCTTCTGGAGGCCTTTTCAAGTGGTCTCCTGTATTCTTCTGTTTTCTTTCTTTCTTTCTTTTTTTTAGGTTTTCAAAAGACTTATTTTTATAGCAGTTTTAGGTTCACTGCAAAATTGAGTGAAAGGCACAGAGATTTCCCCTGCTCCACCTATAGACAGTATCCCCCATTATCAAAATCCCTTACCATGTGGTACATTTGTTACAATCAGTGTCCCTACAGTTACAGATTATTTCCACCCAAAATCCATAGTTTACAATAGAGTCCACTCTTGATGTTGTGAATTCTATGGGTTTTGAAATGCATATAATGATGTCTATACACCATTACGGTACACAGAGTATTCTGTATCCCTTTCCCATGTCATTTTATGAGCATTTTGATGTGAGATATTCCAGGTTCTTTCTGTTTCCCCTGATGAAGCCTTGGAATTAGCCATTACTTCAAGAAGCCCTGTTTCCTTTTAGTGAGAACAGTATTTAGAAACCAAGATCTGGGATCTAGGAATGCTCCTTTACAATAGGTTTCTTTGCTTCTATTTCCTCCCAGCGGACCAAGATAAGAACATCAAATGTATTTACACAGGAGTGATAAACATAATCATTTCCATATCTATCCATAACCAGTAATGTAGTTACAGTTTCTGTGACTGAAAGAAAAAATAGCCTTGATGTAATTTGTTTCTATGACAGAGATATTCCCATTATGGTTAATTTCAGGCTATCTATGGTTTCACAACCATCTCATAAAACTCTTGAATATTTAAGAGTTGATTCTAGAGAATAAGGATGGGCTTATGCCATCAGACCACTGAAATACATCTATACCCATATATACGTCATCTTCTATCTGTCCATCTCTTTCATTCTACCACTTTCTGTGATGAAAAAAATATTCTATATATCCCTAGTTCAATACAGAACCACTAAACACATGTGGTTAGTTGAGCCTTTGACATGTGACTACTGTCACTGAAGAACTAAATCTTACCTTTAATTTAATTACTTAAAATTTAAATATAATAGGCACATCTGGCAAGTGGTTACCATACTGGGTAGCAGAACTATAAAATTCAATTATCAGGGCAATCAAGGGAAAGAATCTGATATTTGAATTTATGCATAGCAGTATCATAGAAAGTATGCCTGGGAAATCAGAACTCTGTAGCCCTTTCTTACATTCATTTTTGTATTATTTCATGTCTTTGGCAGATACCCTGTTAATTTCAGTGCTCTAAATATCTAAATGTCCTAATACAGTTCTGATCAAATAGATTAGAGCCTAACCATGCTTAGTTTCTGCCAGGAGATATCCAAAGGGAGGCCAACTTGTATTCAGAGTAGGACCATTCACTATGGAAGGTGACATGCAGGTCATGATTGAATAAGCATTGCTAATTCTACTCACTGGATTCTGTTTGTCTATATTTCATGCTGCCCAATGCCCTTCTATTGATGATTGTCTCTCTTACTTTTTAAATTTTTATTTATTTTTGAGAGGGAGACAGAGACAGAGTGTGGTGGCGGGGGGGCGGGGGGGAGGGGACAGGCAGAGAGAAAGGGAAACACAGAATCCGAAGCAGGCTCCAGGCTCTGAGCTACCAGCACAGAGCCAAACACAGGGCTTGAACTTGCGATCTGTGAGATCCTGACCTGAGCCGAAGTCAGACGCTTAACAAACTGAGCCACCCCAGCGCCCTTCTCTTACTGTTTTATTTATTTTTTTAATATTTTTATTTATTTCTAGGAGAGAGAGAGAGACAGCGTGAGCAGGGGAGGGTCAGAGAGAGAGGGAGACACAGACTCTGAAATAGGCTCCAGGCTCTGAGCTGACTGTCAGCACAGAGCCCGACGCGGGGGTCGAACCCACGAACCGCGAGATCATGACCTGAGCAAAAGTTGGACGCTTAACCGACTAAGCCACCCAGGAGCCTCAATTCCTTACTGTTTTAATGTGGTTGATTAGACTAGCATCAGACACCACTCTTCTAGCTTTTGGTCTGTGTTGTAGTTTTTGTATACATCTGAGATCATCCTTTGGAAGAGTTGTGCCCCAGGTCTTCTGTTAGCTGAGACCTCTGGAAGGTATAATCTGTGTTTCTCAAGATAGGTTGTGCACACAAATCCTCCCATCTCATGAAATCCAGATTTTTATTTGATAGTTCTAGGCTAAGGTTTGAGATTCTGCTTTTCTAATAAGATACAGTAGATCTTGTGGTACATGAGCCACACTTTGAGTACCAAGAGTTTATCTGTAGCCCAATATTGTACTCTTAAGTTCATGCAATGTTCCCACATAAGCTCCCTTATGTTTAGGTGAAAGATCATTTAATTTTCCTGACAATTAAACCTTAGCATTGTAAACTCTCTCTCAAAACAAAGGTGTATTTTAGGTAGAAGACTGTAGATTTTTTCCTGGAGAAGAATGCTACTTATTGGTAAATACGTTAAGACATTACGAGAACACACTAAGAACATAGTGTGTGTTGGACAGAAATGCCATTTATGAATGAAATTACCCACATCTGTTGGTGGGGAGGGAGGCATAAGCAGGAACAGATTGCCAAGAATAGTATAGACCTTGAAAATTACCAGATCAAGACAACTTTTGCCTCTTTATGGCTCTGTAAGATAAGCATCAGAGTGCAAACCACTCCCAGTTTGATTCCTAGTCTCTTTTATAATTTTTCCCTTGAGAGATTTGGGCATTTCAAATAGATTCCTCATCATCTAAACTGATGTTTTACATTCACCAGTTTTGGCTAAAATGTCTTTCCTCTTCTTTTAGCTCTGTCTGATCAGGAACTAGTGGCTCAATCTCTTATCTTTATTTTTGCTGGCTATGAGCCGACTAGCACTTCTCTCTCCTTCCTTGTGTATGAATTGGCCACTCACCCTGATGTCCAGCAGAAACTGCAGGAGGAAATTGATGTGACTTTTCCCAACAAGGTGAGTGGGTCAGACTTGTAGAGGGAGTTGAGATAAGCTCAGTTATGCTACAGTAACAAATTAGGACTAAAATCAAGTGAGTTTTCATAAAAAAGCTTTATTTCTTTTTTACCTTAAAAGGTTTATTGTCAAGTTCGTTTCTATATAACACCCAGTGCTCATCCCAACAAGTGCCCTCCTCCATGTCCACCAACCCCCTTCACCTCTCTCTCACCCCTTTCAGCCATCAGTTTGTTCTCAGCACTCATGAGTCTCTCATGGTTTGCCTCTCCCCATCTCTCAAACTATTTTCCAATTTCTTCTCCCCCATGATTCTCCGATAAGTTCCTCCTAATCCTCCTGACTTATTTCGCTCAGCATAACACCCTCAAGTTCCAACCATGTTGCTACACATGGCCAGATTTCATTCTTTTTGTTTGTTTTATTTTATTTTATTTTTATTTATTTATTTTTTTACAAATAGTTTTTTGTCAAGTAGGTTTCCATATAACACCCAATGCTCACCCCCACAAGTTCCCTCTTCCATGCCCATCTCCCCCCTACCCCCCCCCCACCCATCAGTCTTCAGTTTGTTATCGGTATGAAAAACTCTCAAGAGTCTTTCATGGTTTGCCTCTCTCCCTCTCCCCCACTATTTCCCCCCTTCTTCTCCCCCTTGGTCCTCCGTTAAGTTACTCCTAATCCTCCTATA